GTGGTACTAAATTTAGGAAAATCATGAAAACATGAACAACCATCAGGATTTTAGGAAATCATGATGATTTTTGTATTCTTGGAATTCTCACCACTCATTCGAGTGGAAAAAAAATTTAATCAGTCACCAATAGTTTTAAAAATAGTACAAATTCAAGTGCATCTAAAAAAATCAATATCTCACCTTTCAGAGATATACTCAGAATTTTCATTTATCCGCAGGAAATCCGGAAAAATTTCCAGTCTAATGTTAAAACATGTAATACAATGAATCTATGAAGAATAAATGACAAGTACCCTAGCAAATCAACCAAGCTGTGATAATCCATAGAATACGTGCCCGAAGACCGTTCGAGGTACAGCCGTTTCTAAATAATAGCAACTGTAGTGACACACATGTGCAGTCGTGAAATGCACTCAGCGTTATTGTTTCATTTACCTAAAAATGGGGGGGAATAATGGGCAAACGAACGGAAAAACAACATGAATATGCGCAAACAATGGAATGGTAAAGCATTTGAAACATGACACTGCAAAAACCCAGAATTATTCCTTCAATTTAATTTTCTTGGAAGTGACGTATTCTGAAATTGAATATTAGTATGGTAAAAATATTGCAGAAATATTCATCTTTCAAAAACAAATATATAAATATACATATACAAATACATATATAAATTAGCAAATCCGTCAATTCTACATATGAACAAGTGGAAAATTGCCTTTGCGCGCGTTAAACACGTGAAATTATTTCATTTTGTATGCAAAACATTTAGTGCATTTGTTAGAATTTTTCAATTCTCAATCCAAGTATTTTTCCCAATAAAATTTCGTAGAGCTCAAAATGAAGGCAGTGTTGCACTCGACCCTCCATAATCGCTCACAATATTCAGCTCCTTTCACTGGAGACTGTCTGCAATTGGGGCACGGGCCCAGACGCGGGTTATTCACTCCCTCTCTACCCACTTCTTGAACCTTTGAGTCTCTCATACATATATATACGTGAAAAATGTTTTTTGTCGAAAAGTTGAAAACATTTTCGATAAAATCGATGGGTTTGATTCATGTATACAGATATTTTCCAAAATTGCAATGTTTAGTCCTGAATTCTCATGCAACTAATCTCCTTAATTGAAAAAAATAAAGGACAAACAACACATAAATAAAATTAAAGATTCCCCCTGATCCAGAGAATAGAGACGTTGCGGTTACGAAGTGGATTACGTAAATTGATCGGATTGTCAGGGAAAAGCTTGACGTGGAATAGTCTATTCCCGTGGAGTTGCTTCACTCCACGTATTCGATAGACGCTGTGGTACAAGAGTTGGAGAGGAAGATTGTGGAGTTTCTTCCTCTTGTGGCGTATAAAAGCACCAACGGGTGGAACAACTGAAATACATGAAGTGCGTATATACAGATATATTATTGCGAAGAAAGACTCTACCGGGTTATACGGAAAATCTCAACGAAAATATCCCCCGTGCATAATCGACTCTTCTCCGAGTTCAATGTGACGCCTCGACTTTACCCGAATCAACATTGTCCTTGAAAACATAAAATGGGAAGTACCTGAATCCTTTATCTGCTGTCAAATCCAAGAGTGTTTCTCTCGCCACTCCATTATTTACATTCGATGCTATACATGTTGAACACTTAAGCATTAATTGCCCTACTACAAAAATTATTAAACTATGGAAATTCTTCATTCCTGTGATGAATACGCACGCGAAAAACTTTCAGACGGTAAAAATCTAGTGGATTTGCTAGAAAATTCTACTGCACATTTATTGAAAAACATTCAGTCATCGCCACAATTCATTGATTTTTACGATTCAATCAGTTTTTTGCTATCATAGCCGCAATACAAGTAGCTGGTGCCCAACAGTATCTCGCAAGAGTAGCTGGCACTTTCGTTTTGTCATTTTGGTTTTCCAAAATGAGTCCGGCTGTCTTCATTTCGAAGATTTTTTGCGGATGGAGGATTTGGATTTTGTTTGGTTCGTTTGGAAATCGCCGTTACACGCTCGACAATAGTGGTCTCTCTAATCAGAGGGTAAGCTCTACTGCAGTCCAGAACGGTGCTGTCTAAGTAGACGAAAGGAATCAAGGGTTCCCTTCCATGCAAGGATTCCCAAGGATTCAAGAACAACCTCTGTATCTGGCCAGCTTGGATTTATTCTCTGAGCTTTCAGGGACAATCTCATTGCAACCTTACAGTCAAACATCTCGATATATGCAAATTTATTAAACAACTATGAAGCTACAAACATCAAGGACATCTGTAGTTTCTTCTACTTTTCGCTAGTATCTAACTCGTATTTTTAGATAATAGTATTTTTCCGGGCTGCTGCGATGGGGGTTTTTACTCGTGTGGCGTTGGCGTTCGAGCCAAAGGCGAGGACTGACCAACCACACGAGTAAAAAAATCTTATCGCAGCAGCCCGGGACAAGATTTTTTTGTAGTGATTTTCAAGTTTTCGAGTTTGGGAAGTATGCAATACCAATTTCCAGACGAGAAACCGTGAGAAGCAGTACAGAAAAATAATTCGTTTGAAAAAAAAACCGTCGCATTAATTTCTCGAAGTTCTGGCTATTCTTCATCCCTTTATCCACTAAAATACGAAACACTAAAACTCTGTTGAATGCATAAATTTTCTCCCTGAAATTTGATGCTTCCAGTGATATGTACCGACAGATTAATTGCATAAGGCATTCACCTCCGAGACACCTGGAGGCAGTGGCAAGTGAGAGAGACAAGGGGAGGTCAGTTCATTCTTGATTACGGGCTATGGATTAGCTGTCCAGATCGTAAGTGTTTGTGGAGTCAGATAGCCTGACTTTATGAATTGCGACGTGAACTCCACTACCATAGCTCCGTCCGGCCATCCCCTTTGTCTCTGTTACATTCGCTCAGGCCAACTGTGAATTGGCACGATAGTTTCAACAATAGGAAAAATCATCTCGATAATAGTATAATTGAGGTCAATCCTGAAGTATCATCACACGAACAAGTCGTGCAGTGGTAGGCTTGGATCGATAGTTAATTCGGACGATCCAGAGAGTTCATATTCGAACTTTCGAAAATCTTTCCCAGTGGTATTTCATTATTCAGATCATTCGCATTATATCGGTGAGACGAAGATACTTTTGGTTTGATGACAAATACGAATATAGAGCTTGACAGACGGCTGCAATTTAATTTCATTGTGATTATTCATTACTCTTTGGGTTGTTCCACTTCCGTTTAAATTCGGAATGATTTATTTCAGGAATTCATTGATTAACTGTTGCAGTTGCAGGTTCCGTCGTCCATGTTAGCAATATTCTAGGAGAGATCAGGATATTTAATAATTACCTATACGGAAGCTTCTCTGTTCATTATCCCTTCGCAACCATTGTTGAATTTTCATAAGAATATGAGCAATCATCATATCCATCATTGAATCACTGTTCGTACCCCTGTACGACCAATGATAGGTAAATGAATGGACATTCTGATATTTTTTACGTATCGTAAATTAAATAGAACTTGGGAATTAGCTCATGTATCATCTGCTCTTCTAATAGTGAAATGCTAATAAGTAATGTGAAGGATATCACGATGAATACCCTTTATTGGTAACAATACCCAAGGCTCTTCGCCTGCTTTTAATTCCAGCTATTCATTGGAGCACATAACGCTGAAACTGTTGCAATGAATGACCATTGAAAATTGTATTACAACGGGAAATTTATGTTTGGATAAATTCAACGCTTCAACCATAAAACGGAATATTATAAATAAAGAACGCTTCGTGATTTCAGTACCTAAAATATATATTTCTATAGACACTTATAATCCCCACATTACATTGAGAAAATATTTTCAGCATTATACATTGTTCCATTGCTTACGGGCTTTACACTGGGGAAGGAAATGAGTGAAAAAAAATCTGGAATAAAAAAATCGAAAATAGAGAAGGAGGCGTCCACGCAGACGGAAGTAACGTGCAACACGTCCACTCGATATATATATACATTTATATATACATTTATATATACATTTATATATATGGTGTTGAAGTGAGCCCACAGGAATGAAACGTCGCTGATTAGTAATTGGCCAGTACGTTTACCAGTTAACTCGACCATTAAGTTCCACAGCCACAGTATCTATTCACGTGTCACCGACACTTTAATAATGCGGTACAAAAGCCTAAGGTACATGTATATACATATATGTGTATATAGAATATCTGAATCGGAGCAATTGCTCTGTGAGCAATTCACTGGTGAATTATTTGGGTGAAGAAAAGAAATTCTTCGAGGATCTCTTCAACAATCATTCTGGGGCTCTATTCAATACTCTGAATGTTTCTTTTGTCGCTAAGATCATTCGGGGCGGATGGAATTATAATTGGTAGAGATAAGAAGATTGTGGGCACGGAAAATATCAGTGAGAGATAAAGGGAGATGAACAGTTGAGAGTTTTGAAGATCATTATAGCTTCGCAAGTAGAGGACTTAAGGATATCCAAGGATCTTTTACAGTTTCGATTTAAACGTTTTTAATCATCAAATTTGTCAATCACATTGCGTGAGAAAAATTTCAAATAAAATCATGAATATTCAGCGTTATTCAAATTACATTTTGTATAAGAATCTTATTTTTGTAAACATTCGTTGCTTATAACTACATAATTAAATTTGTTTAAACTATCGGAAATATTATTGTTTTCGGCATAAAAACGATTGCTGGTAAAATTCTGAATATGAATAAATTTGTGACGATTTCAAACAAATGTTTGTTATGGTAGAAAATTGATTGTTTATAAATTGTTGATAGAAAATGCTCGTAATTTAAACAAATTGCAATTCTTTAATTATTTCATCAATCTTCCTCCAAAAGTAAACTTTGTAATTTTTCTTCAGATTTTTAAAATGTTTTCTAACGGTTCAACATCGAAATTCAAATTCAGAGCTGCAAAGTTTAAACAATAGAATTATTATAAAATGTCCGGAAACTTAGGATCAAATGGGCCGCAAATGAAAGCTCTGATGTTCGACTACAAAAGTAGAAAGGCATTAACTGGCGAAACAAAAGCCAAAGTACTTGGCTATCCTTAAGGTACAATGTCAAAATATAATCTTCTACATTTTTATAGGAAAGAATCTTCTGCTCGATCTTCGGCACTTGACTTTACTTTGGGCTTTTTCATTCAGAAGATATTCTTTAGTAAATCTGATAATTGAACTCTCGACTGATCGCCGTGATATCTCTCAACGAAATATTCAAATAATTCAAGCGAATTAGTTTAGAAACGTACAAATTAGGGGGATTTGCAGGTTTATTACCCTGTTTCATCATCTTTATCCTCCACTTTAAAAATGAATTCGGTTGAAATCACAATTATATGAGAAATGGAGGTAATTTCAATTTACTAAGTACCCAACCTCAGTAAAGAAAATTTAATCTGATACCCTTTCTCACATTTGAATTAGCAAGTTGAACTCAATATTTCAATTCAACTCATTGCTGTCGAGCTCATTAATTTCTAATTATTATAAAAGCATCCTGATCCAATGGATAAATGAAAAATTCAATTTTATCAAAGAGTTACCAGAAACTCATAAAATATAATAATTCAATTATTTCCTCCCATTTGATATCAATTATGTATCTCAGATTATTGTTTTAGGAACCCGAATTGTGCGAAAATATTCAGTCCATTCGCCTTATCATTACTTGACTTGTTTTAAGAAAAAATTCTTTGGCACTGATTATCATTAATAATTCATTATTAAGATCTCTATAGTTTCTCTACTAATTTCTAATTCAATTTCAATATTATGTATCCCTCGTCTGCTAAATAGTTACTACGTCACTCATCTTTTTTTTATTTGTGCATGGAAGAAACACAACATCCGCCTAAATCGAGGATGAAGTCTTCGACGCTTGAATAATATGCTTGATTAGTATTTTCTCTCTTATTTCTTTGGACACATCACAGGAGAGAGTGCATTCACTTATGTGAACCTTTGTCGTGGCATACTATGTGGACGAGGCTGAGGTTTTTGACCGTGAATAAGTTATCATAAAACCCAAATACTATTTTCTCAGGCATCGTGTCCTCTTCAGAGTGCTTCAATAGCTGGGGTACCAATGTCCGTGATCTTTCGATTCTAAGAAACAACGAGGAAGAAAAATTATTCAACGGTAAAAATTCTGCTTATTCATTCAAAAAGAGAATCGAAGTTGAGTCTTCAAATGAGTCTTAGAATGAATGAATTTGATTGAGAATTACACATTTCAATTACACTGATGAATCTCAAACATATATGTTCCATACTCCTGAATGACACTACATATCTGATTATTTCTCAATTGACAAACGCTAAGTCTTGTGCGAATAAAAGACATACATGAGAAAACTCTCCACAACATAGTAAAATGATTTTCTGTAGCGAAAAACAGAGACAACAGTGAAAATAAATTCATGGACTATTGCTGTATGAAATTATTTTACGTAAGTGTAAAAGTTTCAACGTAAATTCTGCGTGATTTCTTCATTCATCATATCAGTAGCGAAGTGGTAAAACGGTTCGTCTTATCTCCAGTTGAGCTTTTGAGGAATATTTGCTAATCTAAGGGAGATAGCGAAATTATCGTAATCACATTTGTTGTAGCTCTCAATCGGCTCTACAAAAAAGGTTATAATAAAAATTTTGCTATCTCCCTTAGATTCCGAGATATTAATTGAAAACTGGTCAATAGTGAAAATTGACTTGTACCGTTTTACCACTTCGCTACTGATATGTAATGGTGCTTTGTGCGAATATCTGCTGTGTTCATGTGACACATGATCGTGCAAGCTACTACAATAAAAAAACAATAAGTAATAGTCTTTGAAAAATAGTCTTCAAAATTGATATATTTACTTGTGATCCAAATTCCAAGTAGAAAATAGAATGAGTTCCTCTCGGGACCTATACGGATTAATTCTATGCCTCTCACCATAACCGCAGCCGTTGCCACTCCATACACCCTCACACCTAAATTCCCCCTTGGAATCGCATAAAGCGTACTGTTCACTTCTTCCCCTTGGGTATACCGTATAAGGACAGCTTTGCTTCTCATTAATAACTAATTTCTTGGCTGGCGACATTTTACCAGTCGAGTATCTCTTTGCATCAATCTCATCTCCATGGTCAATATCCCCATCGCTTTTATCATCATCGTATTCTTCATTTTTCTGTAATGCCAATCTGCAGGGGCAATGATTGTAACAGTCATAGTCGTCTCCGTCCACTTTGTCGACATTATTGGGCTCTTCTTTACTACGACTTCTGTCGAAGTAGTACCCTAAGTAATGATCCTCCTTCAATTGCAACTTGAAGTATTCGATTACCCGATGGAGATTCAGACGCGCTTGACAGTTCGTTGACCAGGCCTCCGATCCCTTTATTTGTTCAATTGTTTTGTAGAGATAACCACGTATTCGATCCTGACATCTGCGATGCATATATGCTTCCTGAAAAATAGCCCGAACTACTTGAATATCCTTATCTGAGGATTTTTTTATGCAGCTGGGCCCCTGAGAATCAATTTTGCCCTAGGATTTCGATTTTTTTCAGTATAGAAAAGTTCTAATCTAATTAATTTTTATCGTTAAAAGCTGGTAAAGAAAGGAGATATTCGAGTAAAACTCCAATTTCCATCTCAATAATTTGAAATAAGTAATTACCTTAGTGGTGACATTGGTTTCCAGTCCCATGAACCATTCAGGATGATCCTCTTTCCTGCTGAAGTCGGTTTTAGAGTCGTCTACATTCAATAGATTGTGCAAAACTGCAACCTTTCTCTTGAGATTCTCAGTTAGAAACTTGGTAGCCTGATCACCCACCGTAAGATAATCGATGTTTACTCGCCTCAGGGTTTCATACAGTAAATCCGCGTCTGCAGGAAGGGGTTGGAGTTTTGCAAGGCCGAGGGAAGAATAAGAGGTGGTTATTATAATATCACAGGAGAGTAACAGGAAAATCGATTATTCGACTGAGAAAATATCTTCTATGCACATTGGATAAATTGAGATATTCTGTGAAGAAATCTTTGTTTTATTTCAAGCCACAGTTGTTGTTATCACTTTATAAGAGACATGAATGTCAATTATTTTAGTTCATTACCGTCATGGACCGAGTTTCTACCCTCGTAAGGATATGAGATGGATATAAAAATTCAAGATTATTTTATTCGCTAAATGGGAGAATTGTTTAGCATTGTTTGTTTATTGAAAAGCGAGATTCTGCTATGCTCAGAGGCATCAGTTGCAGTTTCTGCCACTCACATGAAACTATTTTCTGTCACTTTCCGCACTTTCAATATGCAATCAATATGTAATAGTTAATATCGCTCTTCATGTTGATAAAATTACCGGTTCATGGTTGCAATAAACATTGCTCAAACTATCGTACATAATGGTGTTCCAACTATCGCGCAGAATGTCGCTAAATCATCGTAGTAAATATCGCCATAATTGTCGTATCATTTTCAATCATGACGGCATGGCGGGAGACTACCACGATATTATTGAGTAAATCATTGAAAAATTCTGACACTCACTATTTAAAAATTCATTATCGTGATTTCATAATTCTTATATCATTGAATTACTGATTTTCCATTTTATTTTTTCAGCGCTCCATGAATATATTTTTGTGAAAGGAAAAAATCTGATTTCAACAATTTTTTCTTAGTAAAATGAAGTATAGGAGTGCATTATTTTCACTTCTTTTCAACTGCGGACAATTATTTGAGTGCGGATGGGTGGGATTCCGCCGGGAAACGCATTCTAAAGAATCTTTTTTGTTTCAAAGCTCGAGGACAATAAAAGATTTTCCACTTTGAAAAGTTTTTGTCCGCATCGAGAAAGCTTCGTGAAATGCAAAACTCCTCAGCAACTGCGCTCAGACTCAAAATTCTATTATTCTCGCCGAGATATTCACAACAAGACTTGATAAAACAATTTCAATTTTTTCATTCAAATGAATATTTACCTGAAAGCACTTTTTCGCCAGATTTTTGAAGTATCATAGTGGTCTGTGGCTTCAAAGTATGGAAATAGTCCTCATCAACTAACGAACCATCCAACAAAAACAAATTGATTTCACTAAGATCCTCCGTGATCTGAAAACAGAAATAAATAAGCTGATCATTTCTGGGATTCACTCATCACCCAACATCATTCCAACATTGATAGAATAATGTTCTTTGCATTGAAAAAAAATTATTGAATTTCATCATCATTTCAAGCTGTCATTAACATTTTTATAAAAAGTCAAGAGTGTTCATTTTACCCCAACCTCCCCTAGAAATTATTTTGAAAATATCTTTCAAAGGACTAGGTTTATTGCAAACTATCGAAACTAGCCGAGTTAACCGAGTTTAACAAAAAAGTCTTCTGCTTTTTTGTTTATATCTACTTTATATCTACCGATTCAAAGAAAATCTTTGAATCGGTAATTACTATAGTGACAATAATTCAAATTTTTAATTAAGAAAAAAATGAATCAAGTCTTAATTATTATGCAGAATGATTCTATAATAAAAGTGCATCATTTCCAATATAAATTATCAATTTTCCGTGCCATTGGAATTCAATATAAAGGTATGAAGGCGACGGCATGGAAATTTGAATTCTAAGCCTTGACCTCGTAGAACCGAGTGAGAAGAAGTGAAATAGCGATAGTAGACCGTGACACTGACGATAGAATGGCCCCGGGCCTGCGTTCGATAGAGCACAATGCGGGCTGCAGAGCGATCTTCTTCCAAGGTCATACTGCAACCTAATTTACACATTCTGTCCTGATTGCGGTTAAAGTGGAACAGCCAAAAAGTGTTTACACAAATATATTTTTTAGCTTACTATATTAATGTTCTCGGTTCAACCCGCTTCTGAAATTTTCTATTTTCTAGAAAAATCTATAGGATATCTATAAAACTTTTAATGACTTTCTCTCCATTTAATTGAAGAATAATTGAAGTTGGATACTTGCGTTGAGTTTGGCGCAGGCTTTTCGTTTCAATTCTCTGAAACTCCGACAGGCAACACCAAATTTTCTACTGCGATTAACATCAGTGACTTTATATCCTCTCAGCTATAAATACAATAACAAAATAATTAATCAGCTCCATTGATAACAATGATATGCTGAAGCAAACGTCGAATGCAAAAAAAAATGGAAAAAATTATTATTCAATGAGCATTCTAAAGAGATTGCGCGGTCATAATTCATAGTTAACAATTAAGGCCCTACCTTATGTACAAATCTTAATACTCGTCATAACAACTCTTTTTCCAATGATAACAATAATAATAATTGATAATAGATTATTTACCTCGTGTTTTGTTTGTGGCTGTGTTAATCGTGCGAAACAATGAGCAAGAAGCGACATGATTGCCACTTCTCCGTCCCCTCTCACCGCGACTATCCCAAGAAACAATGACTGTTAAAATGACATTTATGATTAAACGAACTCGGTGTATATGAATTCGCTTTCCCGCGTCACTAGAGTTCAGCTCCACACACGCGCTGACAGTCAGCGCTCCGGCGTAAAACAGCTGTTATCGGTGGGGAAAATAACCAAAAAGTAAAGTATATTGCCGCAAACAGAGTACGTCAAAAGAAAAACAAGGGAATTGGATGGTAGGGATGAAAAAAACAGACTGGCCGAGAAAAATTAAGATAATTTTGTATAGCAAGATAATGGGGCGTTCCGTGTTGCGAGAAGAGTTGAATGAATTTTAATAGAATGAATTGGAGAGAGATCAGTGGAGCCCAGTTTGCTGGACTATAACTGGTGAATCTTGTCCATCCGGGTTAGCGGTACACAGTACGCTGGAAAGAGAGGAAGGGATTTCCCCGCGCCTGCTCCAAGGGGATTTGAAAGTTCCTTGGATTGCTAACAGATGTCGTACTTTGTACAATTTCAACCTTATTTCAAGTTTGAGGGTAGTAGAAGGGTGAAAAGGTGGTTTTTTGCGTTTGTTATACGACAAAAAAATTTTTTCAACATGAAATATTCCAAAAAACAAAACAATTCCTCTTGGAGCATATTTTTAAGGACTCCCTCAATCCCCTAAAAAATTGACAACCCCCTCGGAAACGTACTTGAGAGTAGTAGAAGAGGGAATTTTTTCCGAAAGTTTGAATCTTTCCCCCTGAAAAAATCCAAGATCTGACACCCTGACCCCAGGTGAAAATGAAAATTTTTCATTTCGACATTTCTGGCGCCTCCGAGTGTGCGTAAAAAATTCGCCCAAAATTGATGATTACCGTTCAAAAGATCGCCATCATCTCTCTTTTTCTCGTTGCTTATAGCTCATTTACTTCTCCACTGGCTGATTCAACTTATATTCTACTGCGTGATGGCCAGTTCGATTCATTTAGTAATTGCTCTTGAAATGAGAATAATCTCGCCCTTTTTCACTGTGCCGCTGCACTAAACATGTCGATTGGTAAGACATTTCCTGAAGATATCTCCAATACCGAGCCCTTTTTGACCACCTTCTCAGAATCTGCCCATCCGGGAATGTGTCCACAAATTTCCGTGTCCATCTGTTTCACCGCCTTCCGTACTGTCGCCATTTTCCCCAGAACGTGTCCAAAACGGAATGTGTCCATGCGGTCCATCCAAAGAAGTCAATTCTCTTTGGATGGGGCAGGGGAGCGAGCGAAGCGATCGCGGTGGACGAGCGAAGCGAGCAGGGGGCGGTGTCCCCTAGTGTGATGACAAAAATCCCTATAATATCAATTTCGCTTTTCCAACACTCTCATTCATGTATTTATCTGAATTTTTATTCAGGGTAAACCGCAAAGCCAGTGAATGAACAATTAACTTCAATGAATGAACAATTCGATAAATCTCTCCCATTTCTTCAATTTTTAATTCCTACAGTTGATTTATTTACAGTCAGATCTTGCTCTGCCCCAAAATATATCACTTTATCCCATCTGTTCTTGATGAAACCATTGTTGAAGTCCACTGCAGACATTTTTCGCTTTCCAGGCATCAAAATCTCTTCAATCGTCACCCAACTATCGTTTTTACATTGCACCATTAGTAAACGATCTTGTTTGTCGTACACGACCATTCCTGAAAGATTAATTGAGGCTTTGGTGACGTTGAAATGTCGTTTACATGACATATTCTTTATTTCAAGCGAGAAAAGTTCTAAAATCAAGAGCCTTTGAATTTTTAAACATTTAAAGAACTTTTCAAAGTTACAGAATTCTGGAATAATTGAACATTAATTGAGTCAAGCTCTCAGGTGATGTACTTTAAATACCAAAGGATTTATGAACATGAGTAGATTAACTTTAGAATAAAACAATCGATTCACGAACATGAATGTTCTTATTTCAAAAAGTCAAAGGTCTTTAATTCCACAACTAATCTTCCGTAAAACAAAAGAAAATATGTCTTAATTAAAGTAGAATTGTTCTAGAATTAAGTAAAAACTTCACTTATTTCTAGCATTTCTTGCTCTTCGGATTTAAATAGAACGAAGTTGTGAAATTCAGAGATATAATATACACAAATTACCAACCAGGGTTTGATTTAAGATCATAAACATCTCTCGGAAGTTTACAAGGTAATTTTACTCCAAAAATCTTGAGTGATTTTCCTTGAAACGTCGTCTTCAGAGGAAATATTCCAGTGAGGGCTCTTTGCAGATTGTAAACTTCTCTCGCTGTCAGTTCTGCCCATTTCACGATGGAAATGCTCTTCTGTATCTTTGGGGCTGCAATAAAAACAAACAGAGAGTGATCAATTCGATTGATGAATAATAAATTGGAATAATTGAGGTGTGCATACCGTACGTAACTTTTTCGTTGGATTGAGGTCTTCCAGAGTTGATAACGTCTGGCAATTTTTCCAAAGTTTCTATTAATAAATCTCCACCAGTGTTAGCTAGTCTTTTATGCAGCTCTGGTTGGGTTTCATGATCATGAATTTTCAGTTCTCTCTGCTCTAGTATTTCTCCAACATCAAATCTGGGAACAGGCAGGAATAGTTATTGTTTCTTCATAGTTAATAAGCACATTCGTCTTTTGAAATTGTTACTTTTTTGGTGCTATCTTCATGATAGTGACTCCAGTCACGCTATCTCCATTTATCAGGGCATAAACTATTGGCGCTGCTCCCCTCCATCTGGGTAGCAAGCTGGCGTGAACATTGATCATCCCCCTGGACAGAAAAAGAAGGTTTCTAAATTCCAAATTCAAGTTATTTATTTTAGAAAATTCAATTTCCGAAAAAATTACTGGGACAGTATTTTGTCCCAGTATTAATTTTTTTTCGGACATTTTAAATTCATTTTTCTTCACTACACTCAACGACTGACATGGAGTTTGAATATTCTACTTTAAATCCAGAAAGTTTACATTTTTAAACATTCAAATAAGATTTGAAAGGTAAAAAATTCTGGAATAATTGAACATTTATGCATCATTAACCAATTCAAGATATCAGATGATATAGTAAAAGATTTACAAAAATGAGTAGATTTAATTATGAAACGGAAGAAATCATTTATTCAAAAACTAGAAAATTTGGTTATTTTTTTAAATTTTTTATTATTTTAAGAACTCAAAAATTCTGAATTCCAGCACCAAGATTACCTTAAAATAACCGAAAATCTGCAGTAATTCGACACACAGGATTAATTCTAGAATGGGAAAAATCAATTCAAGAACAACAATCTTCTTATTTCAAGAAGCCAAAAGTTTTGAATTCCAGAACTAAAATTTCCTCCAACCAATAGAAAATGTACCTTAATTGATGTACAATTATGCTAGAATTAAGGGAAACCTTCACTTATTTGCAGGATTTCTTCCTCCTCAGATTTAGATAGACCAATGAAAATTCGATCCTTTTTTCTGTGAGAAACATGGAATTAAAATACTTGCAGTGGAAAGGATTTGATAACCCTCGAGGGTATGAGATGGCCAAAAGACGCCACAAGTCCAATGTCAAAGTCATCCAGGTGATTTTGTATCGGCCAATGGTGCACTTTGATTCCGTGGTCTTTCGCATATTTTATCACTGCGTTCTCCTCTCCCTTGTAAGCGATCACAGCCTCCAGGCGAGCCAGCAGTCTGTTTGACCTGCTGATTATATTTTTTACTCATCATTCTTAATTTTGGGGACAGTGCGTTCTTAACTGAACGTTGAATATGTGTTAATTACTCACTACTCTCGGTCCAGTCGCTTGAGACTCTCCAGGCCGAATTCATCTGTTCCGAAGAATAAAACCTTCCACCGAACATTGTTCGAGCTTTCTGATTGCTCTTGAAGGATTCCTGAGGTTAAGCAACAAAAATGTCGAGGCCATTGTTGATTTTTAAAGAGGTTCGAAGAAAACGACGCGATGTTCCATGAGTTTTTGAGGAATTGTGAACGAACCATTTCTTTTTAAATAGTTTAACAATTAATTATGGGCTGTTTTATTATCTTCGGGGAGACATAACCTTCCTTATAAGCCGGATTAATTAGATTGGAGTATTTAGTGAGATTAAATATGATTATTTATGAAATTATTACAGACAAAAAATCCTCCTTTCATGATTATTCTTCACTTTGAAATGGGGGTTTTTAATTTTTGTGATAGAAATTTTACGAATTGCGATTTTTACTTCATGGAGAAGATAAAGCAGCTGGGAAAGCCTGGGAGGCTGTAGTAGTTTGTAGGAGACATGTAAGAGGGCAGACGGTATACGATTTTTAATAGAATAGTTTNGAGTTGGGAGTGATTTGGTGTTGGGAGAGATCGAAGTCGATCCGCTGGGTCGATGCGGAGTGGGGAGGGCTGTCAACAGGATGTGAGAGGCGTGGAAAAGGTAGGGAGGGAGATTATCGAGTGTCGGTTTAGCCAGAGGGCGGGAGAGGACAGCGTTTACGATATTGTCCCCATGTTTCCCAGATCCGATCAATTAGCCCCTCATGTACAGATATTCCAAATTTTCATTTTTTTCCTCATTGAAGTAGTTTTGAAGAAAATTGCGAGCTAATAAGAAACATTTGCTAGTTAGTACTTTTTTTTAAAATAAATTTTTGCAAATTACTTGAAGATTTTTGCGAGTTAAGAAAAAATCGTCAATGCACTCCTATTATTGTGTAAATTAACAATTCCAATTTCAACTGAAAACCAGAGTTGATGACCAGAATTTGTAGCAGAGAT